AGGGAACAGCAAGTTCTTGGGTCGCTGGAGGCTGAGACCCGCACGCCACGCGAGAAGCCCGTGCCTGCCGTGCCTCAGGGCTGACTAGGAGTTATCGACCTCTCCCAACATTGCCCATAGCTCGCCCAGGGCTGGTGAGGCCTTGGGATCTTCTCTTTGGCAGTTCAGGTGTAGACTACGACTGCGGCTTTTTGTCCAAAGAAGTTTGGCTTCGGCCTCTCGGGGCTCCCTCTTTTGGGCGTGGCTCAGGCTTGTGCAGCTCAATTTCTGGACGTTCGGCAAATGACACAACCGCTCTCTGGCTAAGATGTGTTGATTTTTGTAGATACACGACATCCCGACTCGAACGCAGGGGCCTTGAGACCGGGCTTCCTCTGCCCGTGCCGCTGCCGTCAGAGCCTGGCGAGACGTCGCGTTTGGAACTGGCCGGGGCCTCTTGCGGTTTAGACTCTGGGTGTTGGGCTTAAGGGTTTACTGCAGAGCTTAGGGCTTGGGGCTCAGAAGTTTGGAGCCTGGGTTTAGCCCCAAGGGTGATGCTGATGGTAGCGAGGACGGACATAAGGCGACGACGAGGATGGTCGCTTGATGACTTCGCTCTACACGACGACAGTCACAAAATCTTGGGGCACCGATTCCGAGAAAACTTGTGCACCCGCCCCTCGAAAAAAAAACCTGTTCTTACTGTAAGCTTTTGAGGGAGGCTTTGCGCCTCTGATCCTCCAAGAGCCTCGGGGAGCCCGCTCCGGAGGCTCTGCGCAGGGCCCAGGCTCCGAGTCTTCTCATCTCCAAGGGATTGTCGTAGGGCCCCCCGGTACTGCAAAGAGGAGGCTTTTGGGTGTTTGTAGGGTCTCAGTGGTTCAGGGGTTCAGTGTGTAGGGTCTGCTTGAAGGATCAGGAGAACAAGTAGATTTTACGCTATTGGGCTTGGATACGTGCTCTAGCTGCAGTTGTCCCGGATCTAAACGCTATATCTAAAGGTAACACTGCTGGTCGACCCAAAGATATGGCACTGTCCACAGCTCTTGAGCCCCGAGGGCCACAGGGCACACATGGGCGGCTCGATTTCAGCAGGCTCGGAGTTTCAGGGGTGCTCTTCAGTCGGAAGACCCGGCGTGCCAGCAGAGTTCGAGCGAGATGTCATGTCAGGTCCCGCAGCCGTATCCTCGGAACCGCCGCAAGCTCTGATGTGGCGATGTCCTGCTTTCCCGGAGGTCGTGGAGATGAGAGGTCCAAAACAGTACGAACCGTACAAACCGTAACTAACCCGAACCCCCTAAAATCCTATACCTATACCCCAAAAACCCTCAAGCCCTACACCCCCCAAGCTCCTGGAGACCCTGAACCCCCCAGGACCAATCTTGAAGAACAAAGCCCCCAAAGCCCCAAAAACCCTGAAGATCCCCAAGACCTCGCACAAAAAAACACGCCCTTAAGACCAAAATTTTCAGAAAGTTGAGGGTGGGGCCTTCTAAACCCCAATCTGCCCAAACTCGAACCCCAATCTGCCTAAGACCCCTAAGACCCCAAAACGACCCCCAAAACCCCCCAGGCTTCGTCTCAGGGAGGCCTCCAGAGCTCAGCTTCACCGCGGCGCCGGCGGGGGGCGCGGGGGGCCCGGATTGCTTCTTCCCTGGGTGTTTCAGCTTTGGGAGTTTTGGGTGGATGTAGGGTTGTCGGGCTTCGAGGTTTGGGGTCTTGAGTGTCTGTACACTGTAGGGCCCTTCACGGTTTTGAGTTTTGAGGTTCTCGGGTTCAGGGTTTTGAGTTGTTTTGTCTGGTTTGGCGAGACGGCCATAAGGGGATTGGGGAGCGCACTTCGGGGGTTGTTTAAAATGCAGTACACATTGCCCTCAGTGTCAACTCCATTCATGGCCTACAGGCTTCCGGCTGGGCAGAGACGATTCTGTGTTTAGGCACGCAACTTTTGCAGGTTTGGCCGCCTGCGGTGGAGGTTGCTGTGGAGCCCAGCGGGACTCCCAACTTTGCTTCAAGAATCTGTGCTGTGAATGCGAACTGAGCCCGGTGCTATTCTGCAAGTAGCGCTGAAAACCTCGTCAGATGGCCTGTCCACGGGTTTGCGGAGCGCAAAGGACTCTTAACATGCTTTGGGATGCGCAGTGCCGTCACTGCCTGGCAGACGTGCATGGGGCTCCATTTCTCATTCCGCCAAGAGCCGAATTGGCTACTGAGCTACTGATTGGATGCCCCGCACCACTGATTCGGCAGGGGCCCAGCGGCTGCGTGAGACTGCCGGCCAGCTGTGATCTACGATCGTTTCTTCCCGTGCCGTGCATGCCTGCGCTTACAACTAGCAAGCTTGGGAATGTCGATTTGGCTCTTGGCCCTTCCGAATCGGGAGAGCAAGAACATCGGTGGTACAGTCGGAGCTGTGCAAACAAGAGCCTTGGCGAAAGTATCCCACTACAGGTTGCAGCTGCGCTATCGGAAGAGGAAGGTGAACGGACCAGGTTGAGCAAATGCGTGATGGAGATCTTAAGCACGCAGCGGCATTGAACAGACCATGCTTTCTGAACACAAGCGAAGTCTTCTTGTGAGACAGTTGAGACTCTAAACTCCGAACATTGCGTTCAACGGCACGGGATGTAGCAAAGCAGCGAGAAAGATGCAATGCTTCCTTTTGGAGCCCACGAGACAGCACAAACAGAAGGATCTCACCAACAGAGTTTCTAGCAGATTCTAGCATCCTTTTTCTCGGTGGGCCGCTATGTACGTTAGACGATCCTTAAACGTACGTGCTTTTGGCTCCCGGGCAGTGAACTGGCCGGTCCTTGCACGAATTAGATATAGTTGGATCAAGGGTCGAGGCCCGTGTGCTGTCCAAGACAAAAACTTGAGCCTTTTGGGATCGAAGAACTTGTCAGGCTTTATGGCTTACGGTTTAGAGATCAAGGGAAGGCAAGGGTTTAGAAGTTTAAAAGTTTAAAGTATTATGGGTTTAGGTTTAAGGGTTGAGACGAGATCTCGGCCTCTCGAAAGCTGCTTGTAGACTCGTAGAAGAACTGCTTCGGCACTGCGAGGTTCTGGTATAGCGAGATATTTCGGACTGAAGGGCTCAGGGCCTAGGGTCCTGCAGGGTGGAAGGCCAAGGCACGAGCCGCTCCGAACTCGAACACTCCCGTCCCGAATCAACTGCTCCCAGATCGAATCTCCAGACTAGGTCGACAACAGAGAGTAAAATTCATACCCACAATATTAAAAGCCAAAATGACCACGTCGATCAACATTGGTCTTGCACGCAGCAGACTTCGAGTCTGCTACCGCATCCCCACCCCTCTCGGCGTCCGAGAGGACACGAGGAACCTGAGAGCCGAAAGCCCCCCCAAACATACCCCACGGCCCAACTCATCATCCTGAAGCTCCAAAGCCAACCGCCAGACCGCCCCAAACCCTGAAGACCTGTATGACCCCAGCAACCACGGCCACTTGATTGAAAATCCTAGTAGGGTTTCAGGATCCAACTGCCTACTTTCGCGGAAAGGGGGCTTTGTCTCAGGTCGAGACGGTCCGCAACTCTAGACTCTGGAATGTTTAAGGTTTGGGGATGTTTGGGGTCTCAAGTCTTAGGGTTTTGGGTGTGGGGACTGGATTCGTTTAGCTTGGTGTTCCGCTTGGCTTTCGCATCGAAGGGCCTCTGATCCTCCGACCTGTCTGGCAGCTCTCTGCGTGCGAGCAGCCGCCCATCGAAACGATCACATATGTAGAACTGCAGGGGATTTCTAAGCAGTTGATATTGCCGGTTCATTGAACCTGAAACAATCAAACCGTTCAAGATGCTGCAAACTCTCCGTCAAGGGTGGGGGTGTTTAGGGTTTAGGGAACGGCTTTCGGGTCTGGGGCTTTCATGCTGTAAGGTTTGGAGATTAAAGCTTGAGGGTTTTGGGCTTAGGCTTCAATTAGGGTTTAGGGTTTCATGGTTTAAGAGTTACACACCTTTTGCTCAGACGTCTTTTCGGTTATGGATCTCCCTTCGCTGAAGTGAAGTTTAAGACTTTTTGTGGTCTCCTTTTCTCACTGCTGTTACGAGTGTGAAATTCCTGGTTAAGGAAGAGCCAGTGGGGTTGGGGCCTGTGTTTCTTAGAGTAAGCTCAATAGCATCAGAACGCCAACTACATCCCTCTGAGGCCCCAGCTGACAGCTGTGCATCTTACAAGCTTCGTGCTTTAGATTCGCTGAAGACTGGGGGTTTAGGGTTTAAGGTGCAGGGCAATATAGGCTGTAGAAAGGGTTGCTAGGGATCGGAGCGTGGGTATGAGGATCACTGGTTTGGAGTTTTAGGCTCTTCACACTGCACGAGAAACGCGCAGCATGCTATACTAGGTTGGCCATGTAAGCTTTAAATCCTCTGAAGACTGTTCGTAAATAAGAACCTCGAGCCTTTAAGGGAACAAAAAACATCCCAAACATCCCAAACACCTACCTAGTGTAACCCCAGGAAAAAATATCCCTAAATTAAGGAATATTCCGTAAATGACAGTAGGATCCCTAATATGATCTAAGGTATATTCCTTGATCAAGGGATATTGGAGTCTTGGGGAAGTCGGGTTTGAAGCAGGCCAACCTGCCCAGTAGAGATTGCTCATGGTGACTCTACACAGCAACCGGTGGCGTTTGATGGGCTTCAGGTCATGGGGTTGGTTGGCGATTTAAGTGATTCCAGGTCGAGTGAGTTTTGTGTTTCCCTAAGGCTGTAGGGACCTATATAGTATATACTGAAGCCTTAAAGGGGTTCCTATATAGGTATTTTTTAGTCCTAAGTATATACTATATGGGCACATGGAGCCTGTCATCTCCATCTTTCGATAGGGAGCACCTCGCAAAGTTGAAATCTCGAGTTGTCGCTTGGAAGCGTGCTCCCGCCGATCATCTGCAAGGGTGCAGGATCTGAGAGTGAGATGCTAATCTGACTCGTGCTGCGATTTACAGAACCCTCGCAATCACGCGCTTTGGCGCAGGCGATGCAGCTCTTCCCTGTGCTCGGGTCATAAGCCGGTGATATAGCCGTCCTGGCATGGGCATGACAGGTGGAGCTGGCAGGCGGCTCGGAGAGCCAAGGGCCACGAGCGTTTCAGGTCGGCGGATTCAGCTTAGAGTCTGTGGGCGGGTTGCAGCCCTCTTGAGAACCAGGATCCAACTCCATTTGAGGGCTTCGTGGGGCTTAGCTTCCAGCCTTCACCGGGCCGTCGTTCTCAGAGGTCACAGAAGCTGCATGTGCTGACTTGAGGGCTAATGGCAATTACCATGCACGTTCCCATTGCGAAATACGTCTGCAGTGAACTCTGTTGACCTCTGTACTATTTTGCTTCTTGATTCTTGATGGTGACAGCTGTCGTTGCTTCTGCGGTTGTTGATTGGAGTGGGATGCCCTTCTCTGGTGCTGCTCCGATTTGGATTACTAAAACAGGGCAGCAGTGCTTGCGGCCGCAGCACTTGCCAAAGCATTTGGGTTCAAGGATCAGGGTTGTGGAGATGATTCTGAAAGAGCCTAGCGGCAGCGACCTTCAGGGTTTTAGAAACCCCGTCGCGTCATGATGCGATTCGTCATGCTCACGGCCGCCACCACCAAATCATCGTCAACTTCAGCATCGTCAGCATCAGCAGCAGCAGCAGCAGCATGATCACGATTTCAAGGGGTTCGTGTAGGCCTTCGTTTCTATGTTTTGCCAGGCCTTCGCTCGCCGTTGCGACCCTTCTTTGCTGGAAGGCTCAAGGCAACGCAACGATCCCGTGTCCTTCAACTCAGGGCAGCGGGCCAGGGCCGTGAGGAGCCCGGCCGCACCATCGGCGCCCTTAGAATCTTCGCCGAAGCACCTGGGTTCGTGAATCGCATATCTGTGCTGAAGAATCTCGTGCTTCTGAGACTTGTATCACATATCTAAGACAACTTCTCACACTAAAACTCCTCTGAACCTTGACTCAAACACCAACTAAAAGTGCTCTGAACCACGACTCAAGCACTCACTAAAAGTTCTCTGAACCACGACTCAAACACCAACTAAAAGTCCTCTGAACCACGACTCAAACACCAACTAAAAGTTATCTGACCCACGACTCAAACACTCAGTAAAAGTCCTCTGAGCCACGACTCAAACACCAAGTAAAAGTCCTCTGGCCCACGACTCAAACACCAAGTAAATGTCCTGTGAACTACGACTCAAACACCAACTTAAAGTCCTCTGGACCACGACTCAAACACCAAGTAAATGTCCTGTGAAACACGACTCAAACACCAACTAAAAGTCCTCTGAACCACGACTCAAACACGCACTGAAACGGCCGGGTGCCTGCCACCTCAAACTCCTCCCACATCCCAACAACCATCTCGACGAGAGAATCCACGAACGCTTCGAAAGATGCCTCGCCAAGGCGCCCGTCGAAGTCCACCCTCGTGAGCTTCTGCCACGTGGCGGTCTCGAGCTGCTGCCACGCCGCTGCCGGGATTTGGTCGCAGCTCTCCATGCGCAGTTCCTGGCCATGCGGTCAGGTTGTTCACCCGGCTAAACAAGCCAAAGCACTCTCAGCTGAGACGTATACTATCACAAAATCAGTTAGGGCATGCAGGCGCGTCCTCCAGCTCGGGGCAGCGGCCGAGGAAGGCGAGGAGCCCGGCCGCAGCCTCGATGCCTTTGGACCCGCTGCCGAAGCACCTCGGGCCGGAACAGCAACAGCCCGGCATGAGAACGTCGAGAACTGGAGGCTTCTTTTGCAGCCACCAAGTCTACACAAAACCTCTGCACCCCCAGAACTCCAGAACTGCCCTCCGAGGCGCTCATTCAAGTTCACCTTCGCGAGCTTCGGCCACTTCGCATCGTCCACGAGCCGCTGCCACGCCGCAGCCGGGATTTCACCGCAGGCGCGCATGGAGAGGTCCTGCCCGGCCAGGCATCGGATTGGTTCTTCCCCCGCCTGTTTCGGGTGATACCAGGGAAGGGACGCATTCCCGGCTATGACTCGAAGTGGACCTGCGAAGATGGCGAACAGCGGCCTCGAGCCTTCGAGCCGGCGACATCGGCAACCAGCTGAAGTTAGGAAGAGATGATGCAAATAATTTGTGAGTGAAATGTCCGGACCCAAGGTTCTGAAAGTCTGAAGCTCAAAACAGTCCTGAATCACCAATATCATACAATCTGCTTTCAATGGCGGGTGGGCGCGTCCTTCAGCTCGGGGCAGCAGCCGAGGAAGGCGAGAAGCCCAGCCGCAGCCTCGATGCCTTTGGACTCGCTGCCGAAGCACCTCGGGCTGGAATTGAGTGAGAACTCCGTGCCGAATGAATCTGGAGCTTCGGCTGGTATCGAAGACAACTTCTCAGACCAGGAGCTTCCCGTGTAATGGCTGAGACTGAGTGTCTGCCACCTTGATTACAGGCTCGCACCGCTCCCACCTCATATGGCCCAACAACCATCTTCGCGAGGGGATACCCGAACACTCCAACAGGTGCTTTCGCCGAGGCGCCCAGCGAAGCTCACCTTCGTGAGCTTCGGCCACTTGGCACCCTCCAGCCGCTGCCACGCCACAGCCGGGATTTCGCTGCAGTAGCGCATGTCGAGCTCCTGGCCGCCCGGTCCGGTGGTTCTTCCCCCTCCTGTTTGAAGCTTGTGAACACCAGGGAGAGAAGGCTTTCCCGGCTATGACCCGAGCTGGACTTCCGAAGATGGCGGGCGCGACATGGGCAACCAGCTGAAGTTAGGAAGAGATGATGCAAATAATTTGTGAGTGAAATGTCCAGGGCTCGAGAATACTCCCGAGTGGAGATCGCCGAAGCCCCAGTGTAGGATCCTACACGTCCGCCATAGCAACGGCACCGGTGGCTAGCCCCTCGTGGCATCGAGCTGCCCGTTTACAGCGTTCGCGAGCACGACGTCGCGTACGGCGAGGTCAATTCCTGCACCAGCCGCCACCACGGAGAGACTTAGAACTACTACAGAAGCATCATACCCGGCCCAGGTATCGGTCAGCAATGGGCCGCTCGTGGGAGGATCGCAAGAAAGGCGGAGGAAAACCACCTGGATCCGGTGGGTCACGTTGGGGATATTGGCATGGAGCCTACAGCCCCAACTACCGTGGACGAGGCCAGGGCCAAGACTCCTGGCAGGACGAAGAGACCCGGCCCCAGCCGGCCAGTTTCCCAGCCTACGATTCCAAAGACCGTGCAGCTGCTTTTCGCAAGGAGCAGCAAGCCAAGACCTGGAAGACCGGCGAGGACAGTTTGATGCGACAAGACGATCCACAAGAGACGATGACCAACGACCTCCAGGATCACATCAATGTGACCAGACGTTCCGAACAGCGAGTAAGGAACCTCATGAATGCCAAAGAAAAGAAGGAGCGGCTCTGGCTCAAGTACCAGGAGGAGATGAAACAGACGCTGCAACGGGAATCGCAGCGGCATGCCAAGGCCATGGAACACTTCGACAAGGACCTTGCCGCCGCGGTCTCAGCAAGAGAGGAAGCGCGCAGCAATCTGCGGCTCTTTTTCCAGCGGGGTGGAGAGATACCACCCATGGACGACCCCCCCGGCGAGGATTGGTCTGCAACAATGGAGGCCTGGCGGAAGGAGACACAAGAGCAAGAGACTCCTCAAGCAGTACTCCAGCGGGCCTTTCAAAGTCGACCACCCACGGCAACTGGTCTGGGACATCCAGCTTTGGGAAGCTTGATGACACCAGAGGCGGCTGCACGTTTGCTGGAGGCGACGATCCTCAGCCAGGGCTTGGGTCATGGAGGGAGACACCCCCTCGCAGCGCCCTCCACACATGGCCCTGGCATGGATACTACGGCTGCTGTCGCACGCACAGCCGAGGAGTCGGACAACAGAGAGAGGAGCCATCCAGTGGCGCCCTATGTCTCCTCTCCTTCACATCCCAGAGTCGAACCGCCTCCTACCAGCAGCCCGACCTCGGCGCCGAAGGCCAGCCCGGCAACAAGGACTCGACCCCGCCAACCTATCAAGGGGGCACCTTTGCAGCCCGTGCATACTCAACAGACCAATACTTTGTCGACCAAGCTGGAGGCCAAGCGCCAAGCACTTGCTGCAGAGCAGGCCGCTACTCCCTCGGGTACTCTTGCCAATCCCGAACACCAGGATGGTACGACCAGACCGGCTGTGCAATCTCTGGTGGACGACGACGACGAAGACCTCAAGGAGACCCACACCACCGACACGGGCAGAGACGGCCACCTCGATGGTCTCGGCTAGATGCAGTGAGCAGTGCTTTGTGTTTCAGGGTGGCATGCTATTACTCCCTGCCAGACGGTACCAGTTCGCTTTCGGTCGGGGACCGCAAAGCGGACTGGCGGCCCGAAGGTGGGATCCCAGGCCACCGTGAGACCCTAGCGACTGCACATGAGGTCAATGAGAGCTGTACAGTGCCTTTTAACTGGCATTTGTACAGTTGTACGAAGGGTCCCGTACCTGTACATCTATTTCCTGTGAGAGATGCTTCACCTTGGGTCCTCTTTTTCCCTTTTCGTTGCTGCACTCATGGCACTCCGGGGAAGACTTCCCTTCTTGGGATGCTCTCTCCTCGGTGTATGCCCATGTCTTCCTCGCGAGGACCGGAAATGCATTGGTCTTTTGCATTTTCCGGGACTCCCCCGCCACTTCTGCAGCCTAATCTCCTTTTCTGCCTTGCCGCTCCGACAGCAGCGACTGCAGCAGCAGGTGTGCACTGCGTACCGAAGAAACGTATCGGTGGTTCAGGGACGTTCACCAGTGCACATACTGCCTTTCTTCACCATGCCCCCTCCGTAGGGTTTAGGCCCACCCCCTTCGTTAGTTGGCTTCAGGTTCATCAGGGTGATTCGGATAGTGTGCCCTTTCCCTCTTTAGGGAACGTGCAACCACTCAGCGCACCAAATACAGCGGCCCTGTCCAACTTGATTATGTCAACATGGAGCCTTGGATGGCTCTTCCGCTCGGTTGTTCCTCTAGCGCGCACAGCATGTGCAGGCATAGGCTTCTTGTTGGTGTGTTTGCTCGTGCCTTACCTGCCAAGCCGCCGCCTGGTTCGGCTACGATTAATCCCGCGTGGCGCTCGAGAAGCCTTCATTCCCTGTCTCCGCCCGTTGGCACACGTTGCGAGGCCATCACATAAGGTTCTCCCGTGGGACAGACCTACACAGGTCACCAAACTTGGATGGCAGAGGCAGCCTCTCCGCAGGCCCTTTAGTGCCCAGGCTTGGTTAAGGGTGCTCCTCCTCCTATGCATACCACAGCAGATCTTTTGTGTACCGCCGGAGGTCCGAGAAACTCTCCGTCTGATTCAACATGTTGTGGACCACACTCCGGAGCCTTTGCCTTCTGGAGTACAACCCTCAACGTATGAGCATGCCGAGGAGGTTCAGACAATACCTCTACCCCTGCTGCAGTCCATGACGATGCCTACATCCGAGGAGCACTGGTTGGGTGTTACAGTTCATGCGTCACACTACTGCTCCTATAGCTTTGGTGTTCGACACTCGCCACAACAAGGTCAAGTGGCATTGCTCTGCCAGGTGCACAGGCATGCAAGCCTTCGCAGGCCCACCCACCCGAAATTGTCCTTTGTCAGCCCTCCGCGGCTCACGGGGTTTGTGGATTTCATTTCATATCCGGACTGTTTGGAGGCAATGGATCTTGTGCCAGTCATCATTGACCTCACGCATGTAGGTGGTCAATACTTTGCTTACCACATGCCCAGGCACTGGGATGCAGCCACATTACTTGCGAAGTTTCAAACAGAGCTTGATGTGGACCCGGACCAGGTGAACGTCCTAGTAGGTCCCACCTACCGACACTGCCCTGCAACAGAGCTTCTCAGCCTTTGCGCAGGACAGGCAGTTTTGGTCCTCCGGGCCACGATACAGCCACCGCCTCCGTTTACGGGTTATGGTTGCATTGGCCAGTTGGAGACACGTGGTGCCCTGTCAGACCTCCCTGTGTCTCGCAATCACAGCAATACTGCGGTTTGGTTCCGGCAGCAAATGCATGTCCTTAACCCTAACTTATTTCCAGGGCAGGACGTTACTGCAGTTCTCGCCACAAGATACCGTACCTCCGAGTCCTGCCTCCACGTCACCAGTACACAATACATGCCCGATCTTTCGGTCTTGGGCAGCCCATGCGCTGCAATATGTGTCGTCGAGGAGACAGCAACGGAAGGCTTGTCTCACCCAGGTGCCGACCCCACAGACCCCCGTCAGGCTGCCGTCCTATGTGACTTAAGACCCATGGGCCTTCCACCACAAGTAGTCCATGTTGAGGCACATGATGCGGCCTTCACTCAGGTATGGCAGGCCTTAGCACTGCCCAGCCTTCCAGGCTGGCAAATTCGTATTGGTGATCGGCCTGACAGTTGCAATCAGCATTCGGTAGGCATGCCTTATTTGTCAATTCAGGCTGTTGCTAGCAGGGACCCGACGCCCATCATTGTTCCAGGAGCCTCTGTTAACGGTTTGCATTATGGCTCCAACGAGTTGGCTCTTCAAAGGTCATCACGGCAAACTGCCATACAGAGGTTCCGGCCACACAGGCGCCCACACACACAGGTTGCTCCTGCTTCCGACTCTGATACCAGCGACAACGGGTCCCAGCACAACATGATTGAAGGTCAGGTCCTGGTTCTGACGCTAGGATACATAGGCAAGGTCTTTGACATTGAACTAAGGGCCCCTGCCACTGTTTCCGAGTGTATCGAGGCTGTACGTCGGGAGGTGCCCAGTGGCCTCTATGTTTACTTCCCCAACCTTGTTGAAGTCAAACCCCAATTATCAGACCAATGGGCCACCGTTCTTGCACTACCTTGTTGGACAGCGGAGGCCAGCATCGTTGTACTTGACTTAAGCCAGATCGACGGACGCATTTTTGCCGCCGAGTTCCCGGCCGAGGGCACTCACGCCAGCCTGTGTGCTTTGGCACGACTCCCTGCGGGAAGTGCCTTCGACATATATGCGTATGGTGCCACGATCCCTCTTCTCGAGGAGGGCATACTACCAGCAGTACCGCATGGCAGCATACAATTCGTGCCTGGCGGCGAGGCCCCAATGCGGGACCCAGAGGCCCACATACCCAGGGGACCTGGGGGACATCGGGGCCCCTTTCTCTGTGCAGTCCTCGAAGACGGGAACCGGTTATATCAGATAAAGCCAAGTAAAGGCCAGCACTACACCGACGACCTTGCAGCAGAGTTCGGCATTGCCCCACACTGGACCACAGCCCAGATCACCTACCCACGTGTCCATGATGCCGGTTTTTTGGGATATCGTTGTAGGGGCATAGCTCTGATCTCTGCGCTCTTTCCCAACGTGCCGGTCCCGCCCGCACGTGCCACACCGGGCAATTTTCTCATTGCTCTGGATTGCCGGGCCTTGTTTCAAGGTTGGCACCAATATCTCGTACAGGACTACATATGTTCCCGTTCCGACATCTCCAGGCGCTTTCAGGTCTTTGCACCGGCAGGATTTCAAGTCCAAATTGATGGGGTGGGTCTCTCCGATGATGGTGATAACATAGTGGTTACCAAGGGCCAAATCCTGACCGTACACTGGGTACCTCAAGAAGCAGAACCCGGCA